GAGCGCGTGTGAACTTCGTGTGGCTTGCGTTTGCGTGCGTGCCACCGTGGCGCCAACTAAAAGGCATTCCGGTTGGGTATGGGTTGGGCACGCAACGCCGCGCGCTCCCAAGCCCGCAACGCCCCAAGAGAATGCGTACCCAGGACTAAAACTCCCTATTAACAAAGCTGTTTGTGCGCGAGACGTGTTGTAAAACTAGCTTGGTCGGTACCTTATTCGCGTTTTGTGGTCAATAAATCGCACGCGAGTGATTTGTTCCGCCACTCCTGCAACACTGTTGCAGTCCCTTATGCGCGAATGCATTCTGGAAACTGGGCGTGTTTCACGAAGTGGAAAACAGGGCATTCGAAGATTGCAATAGCGTTCATAAATGTGGTATGCGTCCCAAAAACTAGGAAAACAAGAAGCGGAACAAGTTAAACGCACTGTTAGGCTTTAAGAAAGTCTTTACTGCTCGCTTGTTTCTCGGAAATCAATGTGTTTCTGTTTATACCTGATGTATTCAGGAATTTCAGAGGCTACTTCGAATCATTCTGCGAAACCAGAATGGTGTCCTCACACTGAATAGCTTCCTGTTTAGAAGTAAAATGCTCACTTTTTAAGCTTGATTAAAACTACGACAAAATGATAAAGTGCGTCACAAAAAGAACGCAGCAACTAGCTTTTAACAGTTTTAATTTAATGCAGACAATTATGACAAAAGCACTGCTAAATGAGAGTGAATAACTTACGGATAAGACGATGCAAATATGAATGGGTTAAATTACTGCTATTCCAGACTGGAAGCCGACTAAAATGTGAGAAGCTTCGTGCCCCAGCCGAAGGAATAAACATCATCACTCATTCGTACACAATGTCACCATTTGCAACAAAAATAAACACCGCCGACCTTCGAAATGACAAGGTAAGCGAACAGCTCGCCCGTTCGTGGTAGGGGTGTCTGCTCAAAAAAACACATATTGCTCGCGGTGCCACCGCCGCATGCATCGCTACATGGTCACGGCGAAAAGTGGAGACGACAAGCCAGCCACTATATCCCAGGGTTCGTAGTTAATACAGTAGTATAAATGAACGAACACGGGGATCTCAGTGTTTGTTTTTATTGGAACGAGCACCGAGTGACAGTCCTGTTTCTCTTTCAGGATATTCGGACGAGAATATACTGTCTGTTTCCCGAGTATGGCCAGAAAGTCTTGCACGAAGTGAAAGTGGTACGAAAGTGATTATTATGGTTCAAGTTATGAGTTATACTCAGTCCATATGATATCGCCTTGTGATTTTACTCAGGACAAGGGCTGACTGTAAGGGTAAATAATGAAAATAAAATTTAACCAATTCAATAAAACAGGAGACAATTTGTCAGAAACGGCGATTATTGTAGTGGCCCTGGCAGATCATATGTCAAATATCGCGCTTCCATCTACGTGGCCTCTAAGTTAACGCAAGTAATACGCCAAGGCCGGCAAAAGCCGGCGTGCTCTTGCCATTGCCGGACACTAGGTCAGTAATAAAGGTGACTTCTAAGTTTCTTTTGAGCAGTGAAGCTGTTTAGGCTAGGCGTAATTCGCGCGGCCTATCAGGAAAGTATCAGCACCGTAAACCGACGTGTTCCTCAGAGATTGGGTGATTCTCACTGCTAAGCACTGGCCCTGCAAAAATGAACACGGTAGTCCAACAAATGGCTGTAAAGCGACCGCGGTGAGCCGGAGAATTCGAGTGCGCGCAACATGAGAACATTTGAGAACGGGAAGGCAACGGCGGCTGCGCGAAGACACCGAAGCGATGGAATGTTTACGCCAACTACCACGTGCTCGTAAATCCATGAGAAGTGGGAACTAGGGGTGTCGTATGTGAACAATGAATTTCGGAACCTAGCTGAATACAAACTCAATGCTATTCAATAGTTTTCGAATAGTCAGACAACCATTTGGAATCAGTCGTAGAACTCCATAACAATTAATTTGAAAAAAAGGAAGGGGTGGCACATTGGACCCGTCACCGCCCCCCCCCCCCTAATTTTCGTTTCCCCATAGTACACTGAACACAGCCCGACACTTCAGCAAATCTGCCTGCTTGGCTTCCGATTCAGATGAAGGGGCTGCACCCGCGGAAAATATCTGTGCCTACGCCCCTGAGTAGCGGCATGTTGAACCCTGTATAAGGATGGAGGTTCAGAAGAAAACAAAATCCGCTTTCATTCATTCATTCAACTACGTCCGCCTCGTAAAGGATTGGTCTGTGCGAACATTGGTTTTTAGGGGTGAAAAGAAGAAAAATGACATTTAATTCTTCCAAAGCTTCATAGTTTTGGAGTTTTCCCCTCAGGGTTCACTCTTCGAAAACCATTCGGAATATATCCGGCATTTAAAATATTTGCGGCGCCATTCAATAAACGAATGAAATAGAACGCGTTTCGAATCATTATTAGCAATTTTCTCATATTCACACACGCCAAGGGCGAATGATTGGTTTCAGCGCGGGTTTATGTCTCTCGACCTGGGTTGCTTATACCATCTGTGGCTTACATCCAACCTCCCTGCACTGAGAATCACCGCAAACAAAAAAACAACAACAAAAGAACTGGCATCCCCTAGATCAAATCAAGCAACATTCTAGAAGCGAGCTTGAGCGTGCAGTACCAAGCTAAGGCCTATAGAGACAACCTATAAAAAGCAGATATCCGTTTTCAGAATCATCCAATTTCACTGTTGCAAGCCTAATGCGGATTAGTACGAGCTTCGCCAATCCGTTTCCCCAGTTCTGCTTTGCTATCTCGTAGCGAGACACGCGTAAGACTTTTAAGGCCTCATGTGGTTAGTGTGAACCTCTGCTCTACTCCTAGATAATGGTCCGAAGGTGGCGGAATCGAGTGGCAGTCACATATTGATGGCAACGATGTTTCTAGAGGGCCGTACGATAGGGGACTTTCGACCAGCTTAAAAGACACCGAATTGTTGAAACTTCTCAAGCCCTCTATTAGCCCCGCCGCGGTGGTTTAGTGGCTAAGGTACTCGGATGCTGACCCGCAAGTCGTGGGATCAAATCCCGGCTGCGGCGGCTGCATTTCCGATGGAGGCGGAAATGTTGTAGGCCCGTGTGCTCCGATTCGGGTTCACGTAAAGAGCCCCAGGTGGTCGAAATTTCTGGAGCCCTTCACTACGTCGTCTCTCATAATCATATGGTGGTTTCGGGACGTTAAACCTCTCAAATCAATCAACCAAGCCCTCTATTACGGCACGCCTCATAATCATTTCGTGGTTTCAGCGTTCAAAATCACAGTAACATTTTTGCTATGCTAGCGTGCAGGTGATATATTGAAGGGAGAGCAGGGTTGTGAAAAATATAACTCGCCGAGCTGCGCCATACAAGAAACACACAGCAGGCTTGAGTAAGTATCTCGGTTTCTTCAAAAAATGTATAATTGAAGCTGCTTGATACGCCTTATACCCATTCCTGAAAGTATTGAGGAAGAAGAGCAGCTCGGTACTTGCCTCACAACACGCCGAAAAATGTTATCTGAAATTCACGAGAGAGAGAGAAAGAGAGAGTTCATATTGATGAAAAGAGTAATCAGCCATGCGGACCTTCTAGAACGAAGCTCCAACGTTCTTAATAGACGCGTAGTTCCGTTCATTATATATGACTTGATAGCGCAATGGCAATTCCGCGCTCCCACATGCATGGGGCTCCTTCGTGGAGCATGCGTCAGTCCCTAACAATGTTACAGAATGCGCTGACAGCGTGGCTAGCCACCCCAAATACCCAGTGATGTCTGCATGTCTGAATTCTAGAAAAGCAGTTTTCAGAACTGCCAAAAGGGGACCCAATTCTATGAGACTGGTGACTGGTATACAATAGCACTGGCACGTTGGCGTTCGTGCGCGCTCGTGAATGCCTTGGATTGGACTTTATAATTCGCGCGCTTGCGAAACCAATCTCAAGTAGGATAAAGCGCGTGCTCGGTATAAACTCTTCTAGGTGCAGCAACGACCTCAGCTTCTCTGAGCTGCTCACACACACACACACACAAACAAAAACATGGGTTCTTTTAAGTGTGAATACACTTTATAAGCGACCCCAAACCATCCACCGCTGTCGGCGGCGTCCGCAGTCTTCTCTGTATCTTTAAAAGAAAGAGGACTTGGCGGGCCGCAGCGCGACGCTCTACCGAATAAGCCACGGATGCGACGCTGATATCGGTGTCAGTAACGCGCCTTATACCCCCTCCCCCTTCGCTCGCTCCTCCGCTCTCCTCGCTCGCTGCAGCTGCGCGCGCACCACTCTCTCTCGCGCGCCCGCCTTCTCTCTCAGTCTCCCGTCGAGAGCGGGTCGTGAGGGGGAGTAAAGTTAAAATCCGTTGGCATTCGCCAGTGAGTTAACGTAAACTCCCCCGTGTGATCAAATTGCGATTCCCAGGAACCATTACACCATAAAGGCACCATAGTGTGATTAATAAATATAATAGTGCGAATTAGTAAATACCCCTCATAGCATCACCCCGTGTATTGGCACTTAACCATGTTCACCCCCGGGGAAATGCTTGGGAGTTTTTGAGTAACTCCTTGGATTGTTTACAATAATATTTCTGGAGTTTCAATCGGTTGCATCTACCATAAAACTATAAGCTCCAACATTGCACACCACCCCTATAACTCATAACCTGAACCAAAATCACGATTCTTGTATCATGTTTTTTTTTTTTGATAGGCACTTTCAGAATATTCAGAAAACCTGAAGCGAACGCTCTGACGAAGTACTTGAAGACAATCAAGAGTTTCATTCGACGTTCGCGTCACTGAAAAGCGCCCTTTAGAAACTTAGAAAAGTGCGCGCTTGAGTATTAAACAATTAGAACTCTCATCTCGACCGCTGGCCCTGCTGCTTATTCATACGTTTATCTAGCTCGGCGCTGTCCTTATATCCACGCAACGCTACGCAAACGGTTTTCGCATTTGGTAGGTCACAAGACAACGCTCTCAGATATCGACCATTCCACTCACATTTGCAGGCTGAATGGCACCTGGAGGATGCTGAACTTCTCCACCTCGAAGTCCACGCCGATGGTCGCCTTGTAGTTAGCGTCATAGACCTCGTGGCAGAACCTGCGGATGTAAGTTCATTCGTCGTGAGAAAATAAGCGCAACCTTTTCGACCTCCGCCTCCGAGAGTAGAAGGCGATAGCGTGAGAGGGCCTCATTCTCGTGGCAAAGTTGTCCCATTCTACCGAGAAAATAAGCAAATAAACCTCACAAAACAAGCCCAAACAAAGTGAAAATACAATAAATTTTCCCATTCCTGAAAATATCTTCACTTTCATTTTCAAAATTTAACTCAAGCATTCTGTGGAGTTAAAGAAAGTAACAGTTCATTGTTACGTACAGTCAAAATATACACTACGAACGAGAGCGCATAGCTAATTTTTAATTTTTTCAGGGCAATCTCCATCTGGTTGGAGGCATGTTTGCCAGCGCAGGATTAGTGTTACTGGTTGATTCCCCAAAGGTATGTTTGACTTTGACACTCATGCACAGGTGTGGGCACGAGGCGGGGGTGTTGGGGTGGCGCAAAATTGGCCCTATACATATACATTGGCCCTATACATTGGCCCTATACATCGGCCCTATACATTGGCCCTATACATTGTCTTAATAGGACAGTTGAATAAGGGGAGGGGTGTTGTTGCGATAAACCTTCATCCTTCTGATCTTTATGATGAAAAACCCGATACACTCTATACACCAAATACTCAAAGTAATTGACAAACATATCATGAGTGAACCACAAACGTGCGTTGCTGAACGCGATGACAAAAAAAAAAATGACTATATCGACTGGGAACATCCAAATGAGTCTAAAAAAATGTGAAACGCGACTAGGAAATTCTAGAAGTGACTCGGCGAAATAAAAGCCCAAATCCGCTTATTATAAGCGGAACTGGCCACTCTGTCTCGTGGGCTTCTCATTGGCCTTCTCCTTCGCCGGTCCCTACGGCATCTGCGATTTTCCTCCGTATAGCGTTAGATGACCGCGAGAATGTTATAATATGAAAAACACAAAAAATATGTCCACAACAACTTCCACCAGATAATATTTGAATTACGCACCTAAAATGCCTAGAATGTACCAGCTTCCGGGACAGCAGAGGGATTTTCCGGCGGCAGTGCCTAGTACTCACAGTGTTAACGAGATGGCGATTACGCTGCGGCGCTCGCTTCCTATCGATGCGTGGGAAACAGACAGAGAGACAGACGAATGGACGACCATCTTTGATCATGTACTGGGCGAGATTCACTGAAGATTCACTGTTTTACCGATGAATTTCCGGAGCTTCGCCCACTCATCATCATTCACTGCGTGAATATGCCGGAAATTTTTTAAAGACGATATTCCTTCTTGGAGTACTTAAACGCAAAATTTTTGGTCCGTCTGGCTGTCTGTTCATTTATCTGTTTGTCCGCCGTAACATATCCCAAACGGCCCTAAACTATACTCAAAACGGACAACCCCATCCGCAGCACCCACCTATTGCTCAAGGTTCAGCATTCATTCTTGTGCGATTATGAATTGAAAAACAATTATTGCGCATATTTGAGGCACCATAACAACACGTCAATGTTCTGTATGAGTGTCTCTTACAATAAAATGCATTAATAAGTAATTTTAAGGACCATATCGTTTATCACCTAGCGCTGACAATGCAACGCGATGCTCAAAAAGATGGGCAGATCCGACGTACACTGGGAATCGACGATATGTGAAGCACGAATGAGAAATGTTGATATGTCGCTTTAAAATCAGCACAATAACGTTACGAAGTGGAGGTAAATTATGCCGTACATAACTTCCATGTCATGATTATCATTTTTAGATGTGTCGTTTACCTTCGTCATCTATTCCCGTCATGTGATACCAAATTTAGTATCTGTGGAGCTGGCGATACGGCCGCGAGCACGCTATGAGCGTAGTATGTTGTCATGTTCTTACATGACACGCGTGTCAGGATTATCATGTTTGCACCAGTCATATATTTTGTCGTTCATTGACGTCACGTAACATCAAATTTGGCATATGTAGAGCTAGCAAAACGGCCGCGAGCGCATCATGAAGGGCCCAATATATTACAATAGAGCGTTGACGCGCTCGCACGCTGGGCACAGCGACGCTAATTTAGCAAAACGCGAGCACTCTATAGTCTGACGCCAGGCGGAACCAGCGTCCGTCGGCGCGGCCCGACGACCACCGGCGTGAAATGCGACATGCTGCATTTCTTGCCGATGCGTTACCCAGACAACACTGCGTCTCCCTCTGTTCGTGCGGGCCACGCTGGACACGCTGAAACGCGCATGCGTCAAAGCAACGCAGCACGGCGCGAGCCTGCAAGTATATGGCAGGACCGGCGCCTGGCGTGGCAACGCCGGCGTGAAGCGACAAAATGCACGACGGTGAGCACGCGCACTGCGTCACGTCGAAATGTATTGGCGCCTTGACTGTGGCATGTACTCATGTTCTAACATGACACGCATCTCATGATTATCATGTTTGCACCAGCCACACACCTTCGTCATCCATTGGCGTCACGTAATACCAAATTTGACATATGTGATGCTAGCGAAACGGATGCAAGTGCATCATCAGTGTGGCATGTAGTCATATTGTTACATGACACACATGTCGTGATTATCATGCTTGGATTGTCATTTACCTATGTCACCCGTTCGTGTCACGTAATGTCGAGTTTGGTACATGTGAAGCTAGCGAAACGGCCGTGAGGGCATCATAAGCGTAGCATGTAGTCATGTTGTTTCATGACACGCATCTCATAATTATCATGTTTGCACATAACTTCGTCATCCATTCACGTACTGTAATACCAAATTTGGTATATGTGACGCTAACGAAACGGCCGCGAGCGCATCATGAGCGTGGCATGTAGTCATGTTGTTACATGGCACTCTTGTCATGACTTTCATGTTAGTGTCTACCACTTGTGTTCGACATGTAATCATGCCATACCATTCCAGTTTTGCAGCATGCCATGCGAACGAAATCACCGCAAGAGCTGCAGGACCATGAAATGAAAATCATGGCATTCATGACATAGATGTCACGATTTTCATGTTAGGACTAGTCAAATATGCTCTTGATATAGTCATGTTATGCCATACCAAGTTTGGTATTGATACCACTATTGAAACGGCCGGGAGAGCTTAAAGTCGTAGGCTGATAGATAGATAGATAGATAGATAGATAGATAGATAGATAGATAGATAGATAGATAGATAGATAGATAGATAGATAGATAGATAGATAGATAGATACGCTCAAAGTCACCGAAGTTTGCTAAGAAATGCTTCGTATTTAAAAGGCAAGAGTTTCCAACGCTTTGCTAAGAAGACACGTGGAGGCACCTGCCCATCATTTTGCGTTCTACTCCTTATCGCCTCCAATACAGGCACGCACGCCTTCCTTCGTCTTTGAAGATAACTGCCAGATGGCGCTCGTGTCTAGCATGCCTCGATGCACTCGTTCGCCTTCGCTGCACGGATCAAGATCCCTAACGCAGCTCCTCCAAAATACAAATCAGCTATTTTCTCGCGCAGAACATCAAATAAACGCTTTGTTCACTCTCTCCAGACGCAAGACTATCGTCTTTCGACAACATTTGCAGTGGAGCATGCAGATACAGGGCCAATTTTTTATGAACAATGCTTTTCAGACGACTTTTAAAACATCACAAGGCTTCGCGATATTTTGAAGAACGGTAATTTTGGGCGATTTTCTCACCTCCTCATTTATTAACGAATTTCGTAAGCAGCTCACTTCCGTTTTTTTATACGTATCTGTGAAACTTTATATGTGCTTGACGTTATGCTTAACGTTATTCTTGACATTTAGAGATATGCACTCAGCATATATCTAAAGCTGAGTGCATGCTCAGCTTTATAAATATCCAAGAGCCCCTGTTAAGCTTCTGGTCTCGTGAGTACGTAGAGAATCAGTTACATAGAGTGACGTTGATGTCAAATGTTCGCATTTTTACACATTGAGAGACCACAACTGGTGATTGTGCAGTTGACACACGATCACCAGTTGCAATCTCTCAATCACCATACCGTAAAATGACTTCGTGTAAAAAATTCTATACACTATGCTACTGCTAAGACTAAGCACACTGCGGCGGCTTCCATTTCAGCTTTGGAGTAAGCGCAACCTATGCGACTCCTCTTATGGTCTTAGCGAAAGAACAGAAGAATCTGTTCCAAAATCACTGCCACCTCCAATTCTATACAGGATTTCTTGATTATGCAAGCACGTGCGCACAGTTTATTGACACCGGGGCGGCTCGCTGTGATATAGAAAAGTGACAATGTCACAAGCTTAAAAACATGATCAGTAAGTTTGATATATGGGCCATGAGTGTTATAAGAGCCAAAGAAGGCGATTAAGTGCTGCAACTGCGAAATGAGGGGCAAAAAATTGAAACAGTTTCGTATAGGTGGGAGTACAGGAATGGTAAATTGACGAAGCCGACAGGATAGAAACCGATTCAATGCGGTATATTCTGAAGACATGCCGAAGTTCAAAAGCAAGCCGTATTTGTCGATGGGCAAAGCAGATACAGAGAAGATGCATTTCACTGAAAGTATCCTGACTACGGAACCGCAGTAATTCATTGCTCGAAAAAACCAGGAGATGGCTTGAGAAACTCGACTACCAGACATCATCGAAGCTGAGCCTGAAGCACGTGAAATTCCAAGAATCACTATTGCAGACGCCCTCGGGCTTTTTCCCCCGCAAAGAGAACTCTTTGACTTGTGCCTACTAGGATACCCCTGCCGCCGACAGCAGTACGCAGAACGGCAGCAGCAGCTCATAGATAACCTTTTTGCTTTCATTGAAGCACAGTAAAGGCCAAACAAGGAGCTACTAAAGCCCTCTGCTAGGGATATTTCTGCCCTCAGCCAGGGTCATTTAAGCTCGGTGATATCTTGGCCCCCCACGTTCAACTTGAAACATAACCTGAATTAATAATGTTATGCCAGATAACACATATTTTGCTAGGTCAACCACGTCGTTGTCTATAGAAAAGTTCGCTCATATG